TCTCTCTCTCTCTCTCTCTCTCTCTCTCTCTCTCTCTCCTCTCTCTCTTCTCTCTCTCTCTCTCTCTCTCTCTCTCTCTCTCTTTCTCTCTTCTCTCTTCTCTCTCTCTCTTCTCTCTCTCTCTCTCTCTCTCTCTCTCTCTCTCTCTCTCTCTCTCTCTCTCTCTCTCTCTCTCTCTCTCTCTCTTCTCTTCTCTTTTCTTCTATTCTCTTCTATTCTATTCTCTTTTCTTCTCTTTTCTTCTCTTCTTTCTCTCTTTGTCTCTGATTCACCCTCATTTTCCACCCGACATGGATCAGGGATATGCAGCCATGCACCAGAGGTCACGCGACGGGAAAGACTGCATTCGTGTGACCTTGGCTGGCGGAGGAGGTCAAGGGTGCCTGAATAAATGAGTAACATATATCCCTGCACTGTACATTGAGACACGTGCTCGAGATGGTGCCGGGGGAAGCATCTCTTAAGTACACTGGGAAGCAAGCATGGAAACAAGGAATGGATGGATGAAATGGATGAAAAGGAGAAACAGTAAGTAAAAGGAGAACAGTACAGCAAAACTCTAACGCAAGGAAAATGTAGAAAATGTATTTTAAGCAATGGTCTAGATATGGTGAGCATCGCAAGCATTATGGCCATTATACCCCAGTCTTTGAGGCGGACTTTATTTCAGGCACAGTCATCCTCCACATACTATTCTTCATAGTATACGAGAACAGAAAGCACTTGTTGTCCAGTCATGTGTGACCTAGCTTGCTTCACAATTAACATCTACAATTTCCATAAAACTTTACGGAATTTAGCCCCTTAACTACATGGAAAACACGAGAGAGAGAGAGAGAGAGAGAGAGAGAGAGAGAGAGAGAGAGAGAGAGAGAGAGAGAGAGAGAGAGAGAGAGAGAGAGAGAGAGAGAGAGAGAGAGAGAATGAGATAAAATGAGACAGAAAGAGAAAGAAAGACAGGAAGAAAGAGGGAGAGAGAGATAGATAGAGAGAGAGAGACGAATGCATAAAATCATCACCCAAAAATAACATCACTTCAGAGCTCTTCCTCTCCATTCATTAATGACTGGCCAATCTTCTACTCAAGGAAGGAGGACCAGTCGCAGGAGGAGAGGTGGAGGAGGACGTGAAGAGGTAGGAGGAGGACGGGAGGGGAAAGGGGGCTGGAAAAAGAAGGGGGCTGGGGGGAGGAAGGCATGGGGGAGAGTGGGGAGGCTAAAGGGCGGAGATAAAGGTAGAAGCGGATGGTAGGAGGTGGAAGATGAAAAGGGGAAAGAAATGTGGTGGAAAGGAGATGTGAAGAAAACAGAGGCTTATGGGTTATGAAAGGCAAAAATGGAAGGAGGAGCTACGAAGGAGAGGAGA